GCCTGAACTGTCCTAAATTTATGAAAAATCCCTTTTTAATTTTTTTTCCTGTGCCTTGGTTAGGGGGATGGCTTTGTTTTCTCCAATCCTTTTTCCATTCAGAGCAGCACATCCTAGCAGGGAGGAAGGTTTCAGAAAAAAGACTGCGGTTGACTGCTATAGACATTGAATACGATGCTGACCAACAATTCACGTTGTGGTGGGTTAGCCCTTGGCTCGGGGCCAAGCCACACACACCCGCTCACACAATGCAGCAAAGCATGGACTTCTGTTAAAAAACCCCAAACTCTGTTTTGGGGTGGTTTTGTGGGGTTTTTTGTTTTGTTTTTTTTCATTGTATAGAGGTGACCCTTGAATACCAAGGTAGGTATTCCCAACAAATAGCAATGGGTGCCATGACAAAAATATGGTGGAGTAAAGCAAAACTGGTAAATCAAAGACCACACAGAAAAGGGGAGAAAGAAGGATTAATCAGTGCAAGCATATTCAAAAGAACTTTTCATAAACAATCTTCCTGTATTAAAAAGAAATCAGTTATACTTGCAAGTCACTTGCAGAAAATTTTAATAATTTGCCAAATATACAGCTATTAGAATTACCCTCAATATCACTTATAATTAAGTTACAAAAGTTGGTAGATAGCATAGTACAATGTTCTATAAAATAAACACATGTAATATTAACAATACCCCCTGCAGTCCAATAATGGCAAAAAAATAGCAAATGAAATTACAAACACATACAAATTAGAAGAGATCGAGTGACAGCTTTAGACACCTGAACTGAAGAAACTGAGACTGAGATCAGACTAGACCAGATACATTCATCCATCAAGCATAATTAAAGTAGAATTTTCTATTTTAAAAACAATTAACAACACAACATCAGGTGCAATTTCACATGCTTGCATTTATCTTCCAGTACAATTCCCAGAGTATTAAAGTGCCTTTGTGCACTCGTTTCATGTATGGTCAGGTGCAACACACATCATATTTGGAAGTTACTTTATAGGTCACTTAAAAAAAATACAATAATTATTTGAACCAATGTGCACGATTCAAACTAAGGTGGTTTTAAAGTACCTCTGTTCTGACTTTTTGCTGTTGAATGTCATGTAACAAACAAATTAAACTCCAAACACACAGGGCCCATCTCCACTAAACAAGCCTACGCTAAAAGATATTTCTTGAAGAATGTTCTCTGCTGTACAATCCTTAGCTTTTCTCATTTTTTCTCCTTTCAAACACTGCTCAAACAGTTACATTTATCCTTTGGATGAAAACCTTCTCTGCAGCTTTCATTTACAGATGGCTGTGAACATGGAAAACAGGCGGTATTTGGCCTGTGGCTATGGAGAGGCAACTGCTGTGTTGTAACTCAATGAATATGCATAGCATAAACTCCCTGCGAGTTGCTTGAAGACTTGCAGCCTTTGGATCTTATCCCTAGCGATTACCTGCACTGCAGAACTGACCAGACTTCCTACTCGGTGCTCCCTATGAACTTTCACCTCCTCCCACTATGCTACCTTCTTAAACCCAAACGTCAGTATCAATTGCAGTAAGAAAAGGAAAACTTCATGCAGTTTGGCTGTCACTCACCTCACCCCCAAAATGTCCACTTCAAAACACAGATAAAGAAGTTTCATAAAACCTGCGATCCCGTCTCCCATCAAAGCATGCTCTCCACTAACATTCCTCTCCTACTCTTTAATGGGAAAGATTGCAAAAGGAAAATTGCATTTCCCACAGTATCTGAGGCATTTTGATGGTGTTTTTCAACACCTGCATTTTAAGAGCAGTTATGGGGCATAAATTTTTTAGGAAATAAAAATTTCACTGTAAATCATTCCACAGTGATGCTACAGGAGGTTACCAGTGGCAAGGGCTGAAGAAGGCACTCAGAAGGAAAGCTTCTAGGAGAAAAAAATAAAATAGGAGGGAGGATGACCAACTAATCATAACTTTAAACAGCAGATATGGATGCGAATCTTTCACTGTCTTCCTATACCTGATAATACTTCACATCGTGAAGTGAGAAAAGAATTACAATGATTTGTAAATTCAGGCTGTGAACACCCCGCCTGCCGTGGCCAGCATGAGTGACACCTTCCTTTTGCCACTGCTGCTGCCGTTACATGGAAAAAGGCCCATTTCAAATACCGCATGATCCAGACTAGGATCAGCGAGAGCTCTCCGCAGGTGACGTATCATAATTCACTAATGCTACTTAAAATGCCATGTGCACTGAAATATTTCACTCTGTTAATCAAACTAAAGGGAATTAGTGATTTTCTAATCTAGTGAGTACTTTAAAAATTCTCCATGAAACTGTAAGGTTTATAGAAAAGAACAATCTGAGTATGTATTACAGCAGAAAAAATAGAAAACAGTACAAGTTTCATGTGAATCACAATTCCAGTTTAGTTCATAAAATGAGTTGATTAAAATTTTTTAAACATTTCATAATGGTATAATAATTTCCCATGTAATTTATGCAACAAATTCCACTCATATTCAAAAATACCATAGATGTAAATGCTTTTTTATAAAACTTTATACAATTCAAGCTCTCCCTAGGTAAGCCTATACAATCATGTAGGTAGAAAGTCTTCAGAAAAGTATATTTTCAGAGAGTACATGAATGACAACACTTTCATGAATCTTCCCTTTTGTCAATCTATCCTGCTAAACCAAACTCTTATTGCTTAAAATCAAAACAGACAGATTTCAATGACAGATAACCACACCGGTCTGGGGAAGGGACCTGCTTTTCAGTTTTTTAATGATTTCTGTGGATACATCTCCAGCTATAACTGAAAGCAATCTGATCAGATACAAGACACTAAAAACACCTAAAATGTGCAAGAACAATGTGAATATCATGCCTTTGCAGGCGCAAATTCACAGTTGGTACTATGCCAAAGCACCCCTACAGCAAGTTTTATTTACACAACTTCCAATTAAAATACTGTTATCTCTCAAGCTACATTTTAAATTAACAGAAATACATCCATAATAACTACTGGTCAAACAACATTATAAAATTATTTTATTTTTTTAATTCAAAATATTCTGACAGTTTAACAATATTCCAGGTGCATTACAAACACTGCCATAGTCAACACAACAATCAATACTTAAAGAGCATTCAAACACTGAAGACATATCTTAAAGCAGAGACAAGAGAATGAGCTTATACTAAGAGCATACAGATAATTTTCCAATAACTGACTTCTTTGAGGCAGATATCTGATTCTTCCAGCACAAAATGGATTAAAATCCAGAAGAGATGAATTACAGAGGACAAAAATTCAGACGTATGTATGTTTTCCCCCATATTTTCTGTAAAACATTGTGAATTTATCATACAGGGCCACTACCAGCCTAGACTACTCTAGTGTTGACTATTGACGGGATAGAACAACAAAATCATAACAGAGAAACCAGCATCGAAGCAAACAAAAACCACAAACTCATCCTAAAATATGGCTTAAATTAGTTCACAGAGAGTTGGGAATATATACACTATATGGTGCAATGGAAATACCAGGTAGAAAAAAAAATATTTTCCTGATCTTTTCCCCTCAGCCTTCACCAGAATTTGCATAAAATTTTCAACAAAATGACACTCCCCTCCTGCAAGCGTCTTTTCCTATGCTTCAAAAACATTATTTTACTAACAGATTGGTTTCATTCTTGAATACATTGTCCAATATTAGCTCTAAAGTTTAAATAATGTAGTTCTACACATAATACCCTGTTTCTTCCAATTAACCCCAGGTTTCAAAGAGCTAAAATTTCTGCTTTATTTAAAATTTGTTTGAAAAAGTATTTATGTCTTTCTGATATAGAAAACAGATGTCAAATCGAGACCTTGCAAAGACGTGTACACAAATGAGTGCACAGTGCAGAACATCATACAGAGAGAGCAGCAAGGCCACGGCGTCACATTAAGCCCACATGTACAAGACGTATGTTTCCAATGACCAAACCCATTCTGAAAAGTTTGACTTCAGGGCCTGCTTAAACCATTACAGTCTTGCTCTATAGATGGCAAGACTCTTCCGTCCTAACTTTTCATATAGCTGACTATTAAGATACCAAAAAGACACCAAAAATACTTTGGATACATCATCCTGATCTCAAATATTCTATATGAAAGCTTGTATTTTTCCTGTGAAAAAGAAAGAAGTGGGACAACTTTCAAATTACACCGCTTGCCTGTGTATCTTTAGCCCAGGGTAAGAGAGCCACAACTCCATTGCGACAGAAAAACGGAGGTACGAGGTACGTCTGGTTCCTCCAGGGCTAAACCGGATCTTCTCAGTAAAGGGCCCTTCACCTGTATTGCTCATCCTTTCCACTCAGTGCTCCTCAGCAGTGGAAATGTAAAATGCTTGTTGCAAAAAATACAAGCGGCAAACAGCTAGAGGAAATCTCTGTATGCTTACTCAAAATGCTTTGTTTCCCCATTCAACTAGTTTGCTTTCAAAAGCAATGTTTTTTGGAAAGGGCCATCAGAACAAAGGAGTGAGGCATTTCCCTTAGTCACAACATCAGACACTCCATCAACAGATTAGCTTAATCCCCTAAACCAAATTAGTTCCTGCAACAGCTCACCTTTGCATTCCTTTACTCTTCCTTAGGAACAAACAAGTTTCTCTAGCAGTTGTGCAGTTTAAGCCTGTTACAATATTTTACTCCAGCTTTTTCTTAGCACTTCAACACAAATTACGCTGTAGCTTGTCTGTGGTGAACATTGGCTACTGAGAGGGGAAGCACCCACACCAGGGTTGACATAACAGCAATATCATCCCGTGACACTGAAAAGCACTTTTTGATACAATGGCTTCCAGGTTCGACTACTGACTCTGAACGGGCTGTCTCTCAAAGTGGGGTTTACTCCAGTTATTTCAACACAGTAAACACGAGAGGGCAGTACTGAGGACATCAATCCTGCACTTGGTAGTTTTCAGTTTATTTGCTAAAAACCTGTTAATGGAGATACGGCTCAGTGTCAAGGCTAAGTGGGCAAATGTGATCTACGCTAAAGTCGTTAAGGAACTAGCATAACCCCTGCTTATTGTACAACTGTACTGCTTGGATTGAAGTCAACCATATACATTTCACTCTACTAGTTTACCTGTCTTGCTTCATCTCCAGCATCTTTATCCTTTCACACTCCCTAATTATCAATTATTTTCCTGAGTGAGATTATAAAAAGTTAAACCCTTCTACCAAAAGTACAAAGACAAATAAAATATAGAACAATACAAACCCAGTTATACAGCATTACAAGTGCAGAAATTCTTCATGTTGTTGCTCTTCTTTATCATTGGCCTCCAGTAAAAACCATAGCAAAGAATTCAGTTATCTAAAATATTTTGAAGTACTGTGATTAAATTCTTCAGACCATAAATGTAGCCCTCATCCTTTGTGTTGCTAGGAAACACATGAGCAAAATCTATCATTCGGACTTCTACGTTTGCGCTTTCCTTGATTTCTGCTGGCATGTGACAGAAAACTTTTTCCAGTTGGGGTATAATGTTTCCGTTCAGATGCTCCTGTGTAATGCACGTGCTGCTTTTCCACGCGTTGTCTTGCTCCAGGTTTTCAACTTTTAGTGAGAGTTGGCTGTGGTGCCTCTTAGAATATGCCTTTTTGTGAAGTGCATAAAATTTGGACAAGCCTTTACCTACAGAGGCCTCAATTTTTCCATTCTCTGTAGAATTTATTAGATGAATATTATTATTATACTCCAGTATGTCTCCACCTGATAATAGTCCTTTGGGCACTCCTCTCTTCTCTGCCAATGTGATATCACTCAACTGCACGGTTGTTGCCTGACATGAACCTTCATAAACAAAGAGTAATGAGCTTGCATAAAAGTTGAGTTGCTTCTGGCCCTCAAACCACTCCAAAATTTTTTCAATCTTCTGAATGCTGGCAGCTATTGCATCTTTTCTCAAGCAGTACCCATTGTGGAAAAACTTGGAGATGCCTGCAAGAAAGAGAAACATTTTGGGATTATTTTCACCTCTGAAAAGAAATCAAACATTTTTAATTTCTTTTGGGATGAGAATAGCTCTTGATTTGAAGAAACAGACAGTATTCACATGTTTCCTTTCAGGCAATTATTAACTAAATCAGAAGGAAACCAAGAAACTGATACCTTCAGTCACCTCACTTACGAAAAGGCCTGCTGTATAGTACTATAGATTGGGCTTGGAATAGAAATAAAGCTAACTAATCAACATGTCAATCAAACCATACACAAACATGGTTCCTGCTCCCCAGACCATTTTATCAAGTATCTGCAAAGTTTTGGGCAGGGACCCTTTAAATTCTCCAGGGATAAACAAGCTCAAGCAGCTCTTTAATCATGGGTGACAGAAGTGACAAGCTAATGCCAGCTCTGCAGAGGGGTGTGTTCATGTCTGCGTGTGTTCTATCTCTTGTTGGGGGACAGAGGAGCAGACATCAATTAATAACTAATTTGAAATAGTTATCACCAAACAGCTGTATGATGGTAGCATTTTTGTTTATTGTTAACATAGAGCAACATACGGATTGACGTCAACCAAGAAGGTCCCTTAAATTGAAAAATGCATTTACGGTAGCTTTCTAATATAAAAGACAGGATGTATTCACAGGAGATAACTAGAGATAAAAATATACATATTATAAAAACATTTAATACTTCTAATAGACTTCTATTTCATTGTAGTTTCTGCGGTTTGGCAGTTCTGTAGTTTTGCAAAGCTGCAAAGAAATAGAATTCTACCACTATCACCCCCTTGTTAGTAATAAAAGACACATGATAAGGAAATTCCTATAGTCTACACTGCTTTCATATCCAACTGCAAATTTAATTCAGGATCAACAGGTAGTTCAAAAGATACAGCAAACTTCTAAAGACCCATCTGTCAAGAGGAGAGAAGGGGACTTTTCAAATGGGAACACACAGACTGCTTCTTCATTCAGTTCTAAAAAGAAATAAAATAATTAAAAAAAAAATCCAACAGCACCAAATTCTGACACAAATTCCCTTACCATCCTTTACTGTTTCCTTTGTCAAGCTCCTCCCATAGTGCTGGTTTTGTGTCTCGTAGCTGTCAGAAGAGATGTGGTAAACCTGCAAGAAACAAGCAGGTAAGTCTGGACTAATTTCAAACAACTGATATTTTTGCAGAGCTATGAGACACCTCACAGACAGGCTACAAAATCTTGTAGATTTTGTATGTCCCTTGCAACGGTCAGCACTGCCCTCTAGTGCTCCGAGCTGCAAAATCTTCACCCCTCACATCTTGGGTGTCTCAACTACAGCTTTCCTGCATCAGAAAGACATCATTACATCGGCAAAATCAGCACATCCATTACATGAAAACTTTTTATAGGGCACCTGCCTTGCAAATCAATGCTACAACTTGAAGCTGTCATACTCCTGCCCACGCTACTATGGATATTAAATCTGCAAGACACAACATGCTCAAAAATTCAACACAATTATTTTGCAGTTCTTAGAACTACAGAAATATTAATCACAGCAGCAAAACAATAAGAATTACGATGATGTGACCACGAAGGTCCAGCTCCACAAGACCCATCTGAAACTGTTGGCACAAATGAGGTCATACTAAATGAATGACAGCAGTCAAGTGAAAGCTCGGTTCCAGCCTTGATACTGGTACATCAGCTCTTGCCTGAAAGGGAGGTAACTCATATGGCTACATTTTTGTCCATATCAGGACTTGTACAAGCTTAACAACTTAATTCAAAAATGTTTTACACAGAGACACATTTTCTCTCTTAACTGACATAATTTCCATAGCAGAAACGTGCCAGCCAGCCAGGCCCAAGTATAATTGTTTATGAGAGTGCAGACAATTCTTATTTGCAGAAATAACGGCGTTACCACGCAGGCAGTTGTCTCTGGCAGAAACTTTGTGCTTGGCACTTGTTCAGACCACCCAACCCTGCGGCACCCATCCTGGCCATAGCACTCTGCCCTCCTTTCACCCACTGTAAAAAGAGAGGAAATGGAAAGCAAGTCACGGCGTATCAGTGAAGTGTCTGCCCCCCAGTGAAAGCATGAGTGCGTAAAAAGGAGTGGTATTATGAGCAATAATTTAAAAAATAAGAATTCCCTGTTTTCATTGCAGCCCCCCACCCCAATGTCTCTCCCCAGTCCAAACCACGCTGAGCACAATATGAAAGCACAGGTCCATAGCTCCTGCTTTGCAAAGCAGCTGGGAAGACTCTCAAATAGCTCTTATTTTGACAAAAGATAGAAGTAATTAAATTCAGGGTCCCCAAGGAACTTAAATCATAGTGTGTGGAAATTGGTTTAAATCATCAACCACGAACTGAAGGGGCAGTAAATAATTCTGGTTCCTCTAAAGAGATAACAGTTGTAAGCCTGAATGTTTAAACTGGCTTGCAGGCAGAGACACTTCCCAGTGTTATGATTCCTGTTTCCACTGTTGTGACAGCTACAGAAACTAAGACACTGATATCTATAAATTGCAGAAGAGCATAGCAGAGGTGAGTTATTCTAAAACAGCATCTGACAAGTGGGATTTTGGTTTCCCTAAAACAAATATTTTTCATCACTTTTTTTTTAAAGTACATAGAAGAGGTACAGTATTTAATGTACAAACCCAAAGGCTATTATTGTAAATACATCAAGTACCGAAGTTACTTTCAAAAATGTTTCCACTTTAAAGAACCACAGCCCAAAGGTAACTAAATAAAGTGAGAATAAAATAAATACATTGTTTAGGAAGAGGATCAAGAGTCTGACAACTACATCTAAGTCACTAGCTATGTCTTCAATTTTAATAATATTGAATGTTCTTGTTTAGTCTGTCCAGAGGCAGCTTTCTCCCTATACTAGCACTGCAGGACACTCCTGAATGAATAATCTTGTTTACCAGAACCTTATCTCTTCCTGTAGGAGGTAACAGTTTTTGTGACATGGGCACTTGCTCAAAAATGCTGATTAAGATCTGGAAGCTCATTTTGTTTTCCAAAGAAACGCTGGAGCAGCACATAAAGCCCCTTGTACATCTGAGCTGGGTTTCCCGTGAAGCCACCCTACCTCATAATTTGCACAAAACCATTCCCCTCATTTTCATGGCTTTTTACATACTTTAAAAATACCCAGGGGTGTTTTGCATTAACAGAGCATTTTTAATTATACAATACGGTCAATGACAAACTACCAAGTCCCACACACATACTAAGAGGGTAATGTATCTATTTAACTACCTTGAGAACAAGCAAATCCTCAGGTTTAACACCCTTGTTTACCAATGGGCTTGGCTGCGGCTCTCAGCATTTTTTTTTCATTTGGGGTTTTTGTTGTTGTTGTTTGGTTTTGTTTTTTATTTATTTAAGAGATAATAGCATTAAAGGACAACATATATAGGTAATCACAAAGTATTCTTCATGTTAGCCAAGGAGCTGTCTGTTAATACTGCTTACAGCCTTTTCTCAACTGCAGGGAAGTGACTTTGAAACGTTCCTGGAAAACCTGAACCAAATACAAATACATTAAGCCCCATTCTGAAAGCAGAAGAACAGAAACCCAAAGTCAAACAGAAATAATCTTTCATCAGTTCTTGCTTCACCCTCACCTAGTCCCCAAACACAGGCATGGCTGTGCTATAACAGAAGACGACTAAAATCAGCTTCCTAGTCTACAGACCTCTTGCTTCACTGTGCTTTCGTTCACACTGTCACTGCTACTAACCCTTCCCAAAAGGATATTTACCTTTGAACCAACCTTTCTGTATCCTTGTCTGTACTAGCCCATTTCTGTAAAAACGATGACAAGTCAAATGAATCAAATCTGTAACCTTAACAATGGCCAAGAACTTTAGACAGGAAAATCTAATTTCTCGTCCACAGAAAAAAACACACGCTGTTCAAATACTTACCTGCGGCAACTCCCTAACTTCCAGAAAGAATAACTTAAATACATACTAATAAAGACCTAGCCTGCTTGGTGGAGATACTGCTATCACAAATAAGAATCTCTATTAAATAACTTGCACTCCTCTTCCACATCTGCAAAAAACATTAACTAATCCACATCACTGAAAATGGGTAAAAAACACATTGAAGCAGGGTCATACAGCACTACTGAGGGGTATCTGCAGAGCGAAGGCTGACACGCTACCACACACGATACTAAGCAAGGATGTGTTGCTTAGAGATACATGCTCCAATGCTGAGACATCCAGACTTCAAAGGGCAAAGAGCCGAGCTGCCCACTCCTTGTATTTTTTCCATAAATATACTTGACAGTCACCCCTATTTTACACTCATACAGGTAAGAGTGAGCGTTTAAATATTACACAGAGTTTTCTGTTTACAGTAAGGCACCTCTGCACTTGTAACTGGCATCTGAAGGTCAGTACCCAGCCTGCTGCCAAAAATGGAGCCGAGCTGAAAGCAGGGGATAAGCAGGCAGCACCCCAGCTAACCCAAGGCCATCTGAAATCAGCACCAGTCCTAGGAAACTAGGAGTTGAAGAAAAAATAACATAGGGAGAAGTTTTTAAAATACATTATCTTATTTGATACTACTGCTGTATAGTAATCCTACAACACTGTTACTGCTCCCTTTTTAAAAAAAAAAAAAAAATCCCTTATGTAGTAATTGCTAGACCACAAATGATGGAAGTACACACATCCCTGCTTGCTGCTGGCTTGAAAATTCAGCACAGGAAGGATCCCTGGTCCCCCATTTCTAAGACTATATTCATATATTATTCTCTCTGTTTTGCTTCTTTGTTCTTTATATGATTAAGTATACCACTGAATGCTCTGACAACCAATATAAAGTTTTAGTAAGGTCCTTACATAAATAAGTCACAGAATTAAATTATGTCGAAAACAATCCAGTGAAAAAGCAGAATAATAATCTCCCAAATAAAAGAAGTTATGACACTGCAGTTAAATCATGAACCATTTTAAAAATAGCTTAATACATAATTTTGGACTCCCAAAACTTCTATGGAGCACTTCATTAGAATAAATTTCTTTTACAGAGGGGGAAAAGAGGCCATTTCTCATCTCATCCATCATCAGGTGTTTCCTAACATACAGGAAATTTTATCACCTGTAAGGACACAAATGGAGCAGCTGTCATATACATGATGAGTCTTTCGTGTAAGGAAAAATTGCTGGAAAAAAAAACCTGCCAGGGCATCCATCTGCTAGAACTAGCCCAAGAGGATGACAGATGAATCTCCTGAGCTCTACAGATGAAGTACTTCTGAAACATACCCTTCAATCCACTAGCAGATACCAGACTCGGAGGAATTGCTGTGTTCAGTTCCACAGCATGGATTCGGCACCATCAGGCCGAGAAACAGATGAGCCGAACTCAACTGCAAGAACTGGGGAGTGAGAGTGGATGGAGAGAAAAGCAGAGGAGGCAGTAGCGGTGCGCAAAGGTAACAAAGCCAGCACAGACAAACCACCCAGAGCTTTGCTTCGCTGTTTGTTTCAATCACTGTAGACATCTATTTACAGACTTTTGGGGGGGGTTTGCTTGTTTGGAGCTGGGTTGTTTTTTTTTTTTTATTGGTTGTGGAGGGTTTTTTTAGGTTTTGTTTTGTATTCCTCTTTTCTTAAACATCAAACCTTGAATTAGATTTATAAATGTAAAAAAAAAAAACCCTCGTTTTCATAATTTTTTACTGTGGAAGAATATGAACACTAGATGCAGGATTTAATAGCTTTATTATTCCTCCCCTCCTAAATCTTGTTATTAACACATCAGAGCTTATGAAAATCACCATGATACTAGGAAGGTTTCATAAGGAACTCATAAAACAGATGCGGCTACAGTCAGTTTTAAAATATCTTGCAGGAACATGTGTTGTAGATTAGGAAATTCACTTGTAAAAACAGCTTTGATGAGGTATCCGCGTTACTGCATGCAATATTTCACAGGCACAAGCAATAAAAGTAAATGATGGATTATACTGGTAAAGTTACGTAATCCCCAGTTTGTGCTTTAAAAACAGGTTTCAGAAATATTATGGACTATGCAATATTGCAATCAAGATGTTCTGGAGGAAAAAAAAACCTGCAGAAATCAGGAATTGTGGATTCTGAATGGGTTGCAAATCTGAGATCACAACCCACACATTCTGCTTGTATTTCAACAGCATATGAAACACTCTATTTTTAATACTGCATGCCCTGCAAAGATATTTTGTATATATTTATATGTCTACTACTGAATCCATACTGCAACTTGTATTTTTGCTATTGGAACTATACCCTAGTTTTCCAGCTTATATTTAAACTCTCACTACTTTCATAAGAAACACGTCCTCATCTGTTAAAGATAGGTACCTTTCCACTAAATATGAAATTCGGTTTTTAGCCAATATTATTGAAATGACTGTGTTTTCTGAATGCATTTCCATTCATTTATTCTGTCTATTCACTGCATCAAGACGGATATAGTTTAACACATGCCAAATGTCAGAACTATGTACAGAAATCAAAGCTCTCCCAGGTAGGAGACTCGGTTCTTTTAAGGACAAACCGTACATATTTTATATAGAAACAGATGACTGCTTATTTACCAGTGCATAAAAAAAAGCTGTATCAATAGCTTTGGGGGTCAAAACGCACTATAAATAAATTTTGGGGTAAAAAAGCCCCACCTGTAACACATTCTGGCTTGTAACTCTTCATGACAGTTTATACAATGTGTGCTTTAAAAGCCATAGATAACTATATTTTCTATTTTTTCCTGGCCTTCTCTTTCCTGCTTCTCTAAAACAGAAACTTAACAAGCAAGTTCACCCCCATGTTAAAAATAACATCAAACTGAGAGATTAAAAACAAACCCCTCTGTTTTGTGACTAAAAACAAACCTCTCTGCATTGTGTTACACTGTGTTTTGTCCATCAAACTGCAGCAACTTTCATCGAGCATGTCAGCCCGTTAACAGGCAGTAAATGCCCGTACAGGAGAGTGTCTTCCATTATGGCCAGAACCTTGCAAAAATAAAGCAATAATCAAGAGGAGGCAAGCTGAGCAGAGAAAATGCCTTGTGAATTTAGACTTTGCTAAGCGTTGCATGAGGGTAGGAGGAGTTCTTTTGAATTCTTTCTGGAAAATAACTTCAACATGCAATTTGGTACCGAAGGCACAAAACAAATGCCATCTAGTTAAACACCAGGTGGGAAACTCCAGTGCCTGGGGGAACCACCATTATACACACAGTTCAAATTAGGGAATCGAAAGAACTTCTGCAACACAGTAACAATACCAGTAAATGACAAGGTTAGAAACAAGAGTCACAAGCAAAAATAAAATTGTTGGGAAAAAAGCATTGTAAGCAAGCATTCATTCCTTTTGCGCTGTGATGAAACAAAGGATGTGAAGTGCATTGTTTTACACGAGATAAGAAAGGTTATGTAACAACATAAGCCAAATCCAAAGCTATAATCTCCAGCCTTCCCTCTTGTTTTAACTGTTTGACTGGTTTTTGACTCTACTCCCATGTTCTTTTTCATTGGCTTATATAATTACTACTCATGACCACTGCAATTTATAGCTGTAAAAGCTTATCTCAAGACAGAGTTAAGGCTGAGAAGCCTAGGCAATTAAGTACAAAATATTACAGCGATATTAGAAGCATTTCAAACAATGCTGCAATCTGTGGGCTGTTTCTGTCTAACAGCAAAAGGGGATGCTTATCAAAGTCTTCAGTCCTTTATGCTTGTTGATGCAGAGCTTGAGAAGCCCTGGCTTTATATATGAGAGAAGGAAAATAAAAATCTCAGATCAAAAAGAAAATTATTCCTGTGCCAATCATAGCAGAAAAAAGTACTTTAAATGCATTGCATGAGGAATTAATTACTGACAACAACACATTTCTCTTACTGATCCATAAATATTCTGCACAGTTTTTCTTTACATTGACGTTTTAGAGTGGCCAATATTGAATCTTCATCTTTCTCCTCACCTAAGAAATAGAAATGTAGCGGGGTTAGTATGGACATCTGCAGGGCCTTATCCACCTCTAAACAACCTTCATCTGACAGCTGTTGCTCAAGCGTGTAAGAATCAAAGACGGCTTCTTCTAGTGGAAAGTTTTTTTAAATGAAGAACATAAGCAGCTATTTATAATGACATGCACCACCTCTGAGGGCTAACTTACTCTTCCCTAAATAGAAAAATTACATTAAAATTAATTTGATTTAAAAAATAAAGAATATTAAAAATTTGGAGAGGATACAACTTGTTATTAAATTATTATAAAGACTGGTTCAGTATGTAAATCTCTGATATAAGCCTAAAAGTCAAAAAAATACTTTGATAATTTGAAATAGCTGCTATGCAAGAAGAATTAATTGCAACTACATTCAGTTTTAAATAACTATGGGCTGTCCCAGCCCCTCTCTTGTATACATACACAGAACCCAGCTTGCAAACAGAGTCCCAGAGAGGACAGGGCCAAGTTAAACACTTGTGAATGAGAGCAGTGTTTTGGAACATATTTCACGCAACAGTTGATACCAGTACTACCAACATACTCAGATAACACTTTATTCAAGTAAAACTCCGGAGGATTGTTATTGGCTTAGAAAACTAGCTGTTGTATCCAGTGTGGGACAAGAGGCCAGAGCATAACTGAATGTGAAAACAAGACAAGTTCTTACCCTCATGCCAAGTACCAAAAAGCCAATCTCTTCCATCAGCGGGTACTTGCTGACCTGCTGCTGTATCTTCTCTGCTGAAGCATACGGATCATAACTTTTCTGACCTATTTTTACATCCATTATGCAAGGCTTATTAAACTTACGGGTCACATCTTCCAGTTTTAGATACGTATCTGTTAAAAAGACAAAACTTTTGTAAACAGTGGGTCAAAGCAAAATAATTATATAGTTTCTGCTGAGCTTCTGTGGAGGAAGGTGAATAGTTTAAAGCTTAACAAGGTGAGTAGGTTAAGGCTTAATAACACACAAGTTCTTTCAGGGTCAAATTTGTCTCTGAACACAGACTAAATCATGGTCATTGCCAAATCATTGGTAATTAATTCTAAACGCCTTGTTGCTTAGAAAATTGTATACAATAAAGTGTGTTAACCTAGCATTCAAATTAAAATTATTGCCCAGATAAAATTAATGAGTAGCTTTTATTAAGCCATTAACATACTTCAAATAGCATTAATAAGCATACACAAATGCAGGTTACTTTATGGCTGGGTTTGCCATGGAGATGGTCTTTTCTTTCTCTGCGTGAAAGGGCTAGAATTAAAACAGCATTTTTTTCTTTGTGTCATTTAAAAAATGAAATTAACATTCCAGAGTCCTACCCTACAGCATCAGAAATGCATCTTGTTTGTCTTCTTGTTATCCCACTCCCATCCATACTCATTTCTCACAGCACACCTTCTGGGGAAAACGCTCCTCAAACCCCAGGCTGCCTTTCATCCATTTCCAAAAGTCCCTTTGGGAGGGTAGATGGACCAAAAAAACCCCAAGCCTTGGAGTGCCTCAAGATTTTATTAAAGAGCATCTAAAACCTGGTCAGACTGGTCTATGCTTTCCTCTAATGGAGGTGAGAGACTATTTCCAACATGTTCTACAGCACTGATGGTCAGAACACAACAAGAAAATAAACTTCACTAACTGCTTGACTCACAGACAACTCTGCTTGGAGGAAACTCGCCCACATCTCCAGCCTTTGCCAGGGCACAATATGCACCAAGACACAGCATTAACACACGTCTCATTCTTCACATCAGCTTCTGCAAATCCACCTTTTAGCAGTCATAAACTTTACATTAAAGTTTCTTTTTCTTTCAAGTAGAGCCTATTCCATGAGTGCATTTCTTTGGCTTTAATGCAATGTGAATACACAAAAACATTACATTATTCCTGCAGCATAATCTAAAATGGGATTGACAAAGTTTAATAAGAGAAGAGAGACCAAGTGCCTTGCTTTGACAGCTGTACAGGCAGGTAACAAAACCAGTTAGAATCAAGAGAAAGGGAATAAGCAACGTTCCATTTCCATTTAATAAGCAGAAACACTATAAGGATAAGAAATGAAAGGGACTTTTATTACTTTAGTAAGTCCTACTTAGAGCTTCAATTTTTACACCATCATGATCGAATGTCCCAATTCCCCCAAGTATGTATGTATTAATCTGAAATAGGTTTGATTTAATGTCCGCTTTATCTATAAAAAGGACTAAGCCTGTTTTTAATGTATAGTCATTCTCAGGAAAGTGTGTCAAACAAACTCACTATTTTAAAAAATCCAGTCTTCTGTTAAGTCACTGTATCAGCTTGCATTACTTTTCAGTGTCCTTCAGGCTACAGAATCAATCCTCTACAGCAAGAAGAGTTTCGTTATAGACCAGCTCATTGACAAGCCAGGTTTGTCAACTACAGCTGCAGGGATATCCAAGCTAAAATAACTCAGACTTCCCTTTCCGAAGCCACAGACAGCAAACATACTTGATATTTGCTCTCTAACTATCCCCTAATGAGAAGTAAGACAAATACTCTCCCTACTAGGAAGCATATTCTGTATCACCTGAACAGCAGGTGCCACTTTTTCTGTTCAAAATTTTCATACGCAAGTCTAATTCAGTGAGATATTAGCACAGCTTTTGAGGCGCTTTGCGACACCACTAATGAATTGAGGGGAGTCCATACAACATGTTAGCTATCTATTAAAATAATAATTGTAAAAATTTAAGTGTCATCCTTCACACCTACCCTTTTTGCAGATTATGGAAATCTCTGTAATCAATAGGTTCCATGTAAACACTCTAAAACAATCCAGAAAACAACAACTAAATGAAATTCAAGCTTTTCAGAACTTAGCTCTCAAAAGCACTGAGCCAGAAGCATGCTATAGGAGAGGGGAAAGGTAATAAACACAAAAACATCTCAGAAAATGGCTGCAGTCCTTCACCACCAACTCCAAAATGCTTTGGAGTGACTCAAACTGTTATAATACAAAATTATACAAATTCCAAGTTAACACAACTTCTACAAATTTGTTCAGATACAATGTTTTTTATCAACCCTAAGATATATCTGTATATAGAGTAAAACATCTTTTTACGTAATGCAACAAAAAGTGAATCCATAAAACTAACTAGCTTAAAAAGCAGTACTTAAATCTCCCAAAACCTAGCACACTTCCCTTCAGATAACATGCAGGCAAGACAGTCATGCTCTTTCCATCAAAGGCATTTGTAGAGCACCCATGGTTATCTGTTGTCCTCTGCTCCACTGGTCCAAATCCCTCTTTTTAAGCATACAGCACCTCCAAAATACTTAGAGGTTTTAAATATGTATCACTTTTTAGCTCACGATCCATTTCAGATCTGTTAAGCTAGAATACCTCCCTTACTGACCTCCTAAAAATGTAATAATTACTATTTTTAAAAAAATTAAGCATTAAAATAAACTAGGAGCTAACACAAACACCAGGAAATACTAATTACTTGTCAAACCCTGTGAATTATCCAGAAATTACTCATCTCTCTCACACTTTTTGGAATTATTATTTAAATCTTCACTGTTAGCTAACTGCTATCTCAGTATTAAGACTATGTTACATCTCTTCAATACACCCCGACTCTCAAAAAGCTTTTTGTCCTGCAGGGAAAGCAATGCACCACAGATAGAGCATTATACCCAGTTATTTTTTCTCATTACTGTTTCAGAAAAATGCATCAAGTGTTAACACATCGTTTTTCCTGGCACTATTTGGCTCTTATTTGCATTTGCAGACATTGGTAGGTATCACTGCTCTGCTTTTTTGAGTTAGATGCTCTCATACTCTTTGAGGATCTGACCCCAAGCATCCTTCCCAAGGTCACCAACAAGTCTGCATCTGAACCTAGATAACTCTCCTTTGTTGCATGCCTGTTTTGTTAAACAAAAAAAATGCAGATTTTTCAGGCCATTCAGATTTGCTGAATTATTATGTAGTGCACTGCTAACCCACCATGCTTCTGAAAATCATGCATTCACCATCTAAAACGAGGTTAAATTAAAATCCCCTGCAGAGAAAAGAATTCATCAGGATTTCTGCATCATCGCTTTGGTAAATAATCCTGACTTTTTACTTCAAGGATTTAAACAAATCATTCCTCAGAGGCTTGCCCTCTCCCTTTCTATTTTTCAGTGTCAGGAAAGGAGGCAGGAAGATGTGGCTTGACATATTATTTACATATTTTATTGCAGTCCCAAAGGAGACAAACCAAAAGACCACCAAAACTCAGCAAGTATGCACGGCATGAACCACTGCAGACTTCAGCACGCACATGCTGATGCATTCAGTCCTCACTGGAATCACAAGTGACAAAATAACTTGAGGCATCTGACTTCTTCTCATAACTTAACAAGACATCTCTCAAAACATATGACTAAGCAGGGAAAAAGCCTCAGTTGCTCCCAGCAACAAGGGAAGAAAAGAAAGGTTTGAAGCTGGCTTATATTTATCTCCCCTGTTCTCAGTTTAGGCAACAAAAATCAGAGCACAGTGTGAAATGAGCAGCAGCAAAGTTGTTTAAAAAAAAATATTCAGGGGCAACAAGTAGGCGGCAAAAACCAGAACTCTCTGCAGGAGGTATAAAAAGCTTAACACGGCTCTTTACAACAAATTTTCCACTTCTTTATTAATAAACTCCAAATGCCCACAATGCCAATGAACCCAAAGTTCAAACCAAATTGCCTCACTCTAATTTTAGATTTGCTTTGGGTGATGCAGCATCACCCACTCCGACTCCAGCTCCTGTGCAACAGTACTAGGTATGAGACTTCAGCATAACAGAACAGCTATTTTACAAATTGCATTGATACTGGAATATCAGTCCATTTTTTCTGTCATGCTTCTTATATTCTCATTTACACTTAATACATTTCACCCCTTTTAGTTAGCCATTTCCTCCACTAATTTACATTTTCAGCACAGAAGGCTGATGCTTCTCCCCAAATATTTCTCTAAGAAAACAAACTCTGTGTTCTCCACCTTACCCTCCACAGTTCCTGCCTACCTGTCACATGGGAACTCAGAGATGCTCATAGATCAACTTCAGTGTGGTCCTAAATTAAGTCACTCTGCTTTTTTTCTACCACAAGCCCACAATTCTCTTCATGTCTGCATGAACCTACTCAAACTCAACCTTCTAGCCAAGGTAACAGCTGTGATGCTACACATACAAGACACCATTCACCAAAGAGCTCTCCTTCTTCCGTACCTCATAAATAAAAGAACTTTATATGAAAGAAGGACACCCATGGCCAGCCCCCCTCTGCCCTGGCAAACAAGGCAAGCCATTGTTCCTCCACACAAATGCTCTTAAGAAATACAGAATAGTTCACAACATGCAGCAAGCACAGTTTTGTAATGGATAGATTTTTTTAATTTAACTTTTGGCTTTTCAGAAGTCACCTATGTCCAACTTAGCAACAATAAGGAATTACTGCATTCACTACTCAGAGGTTGTCTAGAGTTGTGTCTCCAGAGCCCCCAGAGCAGTGACTGCCAAAGGAAAGCTCAGGCTTCCAATGTCAAGACTGCAAAAACCTACAAACACATCCTCAATCTAAACTTAATAACTGGATACCTTTCTAGCAGCTAGATTATTTCATCTAATATCACTGGGACACACCACAGCAGCTAAGCATATTATTCAATATTTTGAACTACAGTTTAATCCACAGCTAATTTGGGGAGGACACGTAACAAACCCATCCCCGATTTCCCCAAAACAGCCTCTCCTCCATCTCTCTCCTCTGTGTGGTTACTTCACCTCTTCCTATTTTTCAAAACTTGATTTCCTACTTATTACACAGTGTAAACATAACACTGATGATTCTTTTCACCTCTAGTGTCTTCAGGTGCCAGGGACTGATGCACAAACACTGAGGTTTTCCTTCACACCTGGCATTAGCAAAACTTTATTTGCAAATACCT